TATTATATATTTCATTCTAAACTTTCTATGCACTGTAATTCTTTCATTTAATTTATTTTTAATTTTCTACGAACTGTAATTCTTTATTTAATTTTTGGAAGATGAGAGTGGAAGAGAAGTTGAGTATTTTAAATATTCTTTATTTGTAAAAAATAAAATGTTAGTGAAAAAATGGGTATTGCCAAAACCATAAAATGATTGACGATTTGCAGTAATCTGAGTAATATTCACATCTCCCAGCCATCTTCAAACAGAAAAAGAATTGATCGGCAAATCGATCCGGCAGCTTCACATCTCGCAGCTTCAACGACAATGTAAGCCCGAGGAGCCCTTTACATGTACCGACGAAAAAATCAGGATGAGAGATCGCCTGCTTCCCATGCAAAGAACACGAACAAATAAAAAACTTTTATAAATCAAATTCGTGATCACAGTCAAGACACGTGTGACTATTGCTTAGTTGCCTTGTACATTCTACTGGAAACGACACTTTAATTGAAGCTTGAAGAACAACTCCACCGGCCGCTCAAGTAGTCATCCACCGAGATATTATTATGCTCAGAGCTGCTAATGGAAGTCACATCATCTTCCAGATTAAGCAAAGCGAGATTAATGAATGATTGGATGTTTGTTGCTGATTGGTCACGACTGGAAACATCGAAATCTTCCGAAGAATTATTAGCTTCTTGCCTTGCCCACTCAATAACATCTTTATCTCCATGCAGCAGTTTTAGGACCTGTTTTTGTAGCAATCAAACCGAAAAATAAACATGGGGGGCACTGTTTTTAATGTTGTTCCAAAGTTATGAGAACATGCTTACTTGGCTAATTTCTGGACGTGATTGAGGCAGGTGCCTGATACAGAGAGTTGCTGCTAACACCATTTTCTCAAATTGATCATCACAAGCACCAATCAAATTGGGGTCTCGCAATTCTGAAAGTTTCCCTTCCTTCACAATGTGCTTCGCCTGAGAGTGTTCATTCGTTATTGTAACTGTCTAGCGAGCAGAGGCTTTGGCTAGGCCTTATGGAAATGTTCAGATAGCTAAAATCTAAGCCGAAAAGATTATATAGCAAATAAATGTCAGAAAAGTACACAAATGTTTGACACTCACCCACAATACCAAGCTCTCCTGACCCTTGGGAAGTGCACCATCAATTGGCTTTCTACCTGACACGAGCTCAAGGAGTACAACACCATATGCATATACATCGATTTTTTCGTTCAGTTTTTCGTCCATGAAATACTCTGGAGCCAAGTAGCTGCCATAAGAAAGAAAGNGTCATCCCATGATTTGGCAATAACTGGATATCTAGTTAAATAAATAAACTCACCCAAACGTTCCAACTACATCAGAAGTATCCATATGATGTGAACAGCTAGAAGCCCAGGCAGCAAGACCAAAGTCTGACAGCTGTATGGTCAGACGAGTGTTACCAGGTTTAAAGCACAACTAAAAATTTCATAAGTGATAGCAACGATAAAAGTAGTCATAAAAACACAAGCTACCTGTGGCTCAAAATCATCTGATAAAAGAATATTTGAAGATTTAACATCTCTATGAATAATTGGTTCGGATGCACTATGTAGATGGTCCAGTGCCTCTGCAACTCCCAAAGCAACCTTATATCTCTCCTCCCAACCGATTACATTTCCAGTTTCTGAAGTACCTAATTGGAAGGACATATATTATGCAGTGTACTTCACTCATTAACAGCTAAACTATATCGATATATCCACATAAAAGCAGGAAACATACTATGGAGATTCTCTTCCAGGCATCCTCTGGGTAAGAGATTGTATACCAAAAGAAGTTGGCTCTCCTTGTAAGAAAAGCCTAATAAAGATATAATGTTCTTTTTGTGAAAAGACGTAATAATTTCAATTTCTGAAACAAAATGTTTCAAGGCATCCTTTGATGGCTTTAAGACTTTTACAGCTATCTCTTTGCCTCCTGGTAGACAGCCCCTATAAACTCGGCTGCATCCCCCTTTCCCAATCAAGTTTTCTGAAAGATAATGTTAAAATTAACCATTGAGTCCTCCAAAAGTCAGAACTCAGAAGTACCATATAATAAAGAACAATAAAGGAAACAAACCAGGTGAAAAATTATTTGTAGCAAACAGGAGTTCTTGGTAGCTAAACAATCGGCAAAGTGTTGAGTATTTCTCCCCAAGGCCCCTAAGTTCTTCCAGGAAAATCTTATTGGCACAAGCATCATGGTTAGTATTATCTGAAAACGGCACATTTGCACCCTTCTCTTCATCCAAAGTTAAACGACAATAACCCCTAATGGACGCACTAATCTGTTTCTGGTCAGGATAAACAGCTGCAACAGATTGTCTGCTTGGTAGTTTAAATTTCCAATGTGCTACTGCTTTCTTAGGAGAAGCAGCTTCAGATACTTGGTGGCCATGCAAAAATACCTTACGAAGTAACGTCCAGGTTGATTTAGATTCTGGAAATTCTTGCGTCTTAACGGGTATCATAGCCATGGAGATGCCCTCGGTCCCACTACTTGATGGTGATAAAACATCTTCGGTTGGTAAACTCAGTGGGCTTCTCGCCAGGATTTTCCTCCTTTTGAATCTTGATTCTGATGCATTAAGAGTTCTAAACTCCAGGCGAGTAGAAGGAGTTGATTCTCTTCGGAATACAACCTTACCATTGTTAACACACATAACAGACACATTCCTCGGGAGACTCTTAGCACAGTATTTAGCAACAGAGATCCTCGACCGAACTGTGTGATGGACTTCTGAAGTGCCAACTATTAGACTTGTTGCGCCACACGATTTGGCCTCCCGGGAAAGGATTTTACGCGCTGGAGATCCTTTGCAGACTTTTAGCTTCAGATCCACCTACACAGTTAGTCACGAATATTTCACAGACTGATCCATCTTGGAAATAAGAAGAATGTAAAGGTACAATAACGAACTCGCACTTCATACTTTAGACCAACAAGCAATGGAGGAAACCAAAAAAAATGATCCAACTCAAAATCTAGACAAGGTTGGAAATTTAAAACCTCATCAAACAAAGGAACGTAAACAGTCGTAGATCTACGATCAAGTAAATTACTCCCAACCCCCTAACCTCCCACCAAAAGAATTAGTGGATGAATAAACAGTGGACAAGTTGCTTGAATGATAATATGAACCACCTCAATGCACTGAAAACTAGAAAACCAAGATTACAAAAATTCAGGAAATGATAGGGTTTGTCTACAAAGGAGCTATCTGTTCAAGCCAAATTGAAGAATTGAATAGGTTTAACTCAAATGTATTCAAAGTTCTTAACCTTTTCACATAACAATCACAATAAGCAAGAGATAAAACAGAGGGTCACCTGCTTTAGGTTGCAAAATCCTTCATATGCAGCAAGCACCGAATCGAAATTCTTCACCAAGGAAAGCAGCGTCGATTTATCTTATCCCGACAGAAATTAGAAGAAAACGTGAAAAAAAAATTACTCACTGGAACAACAAATCATTTAACCACATTTCTGCAAGAGTTTAAAAAAGCCCATGTCTAGTTCCACTTAATCCACACTAAAGTTTCCGAAAAACAAAGTGCCCATAACTCGGCATGTAAAAGCTATTTCTCACCGGCGTTCGGATCGAGGATGTGAAGAGCAATCACGCAATCGCCACACTGCGCCACCTTCACCAGCGCCCAAGTCAGCAGCTCCCGGCTCCGACAGTCAAGTTTCACTCCGACCACCACAACCGCCGCCGCGCCGCCGCCTTCTTCCGTCTCGGCGCCGCCGCTACATTCCGGGAGTCCAGGACACCCACCCCCCAGCCTCATTCTGGACAGAGGAGCAGATCACGCGAGGCACCAAGGCCCAAGCCGTGTTGTAGTGCCTGCGTGCCCTACCTATGGGTTCTTTTTATCGTCTCTCTCCACAACTAAAGCGTGCAGCTTTTGACAGCATTATTGTTCCGTTGAGCGTCCCTCTCTCTCTCTCTCTCTCTCTGGGAAGACAGTACAGTCCTTTATTTTCCTGGGGATTGATGAGTATAATAATAAAGAAACAATAAAAAAAGACAAGTTGTGAAATAAAATATTCATGACCAATGGGTTAGTGATTGAGTGTGGTATTTGACCATGGGGCTTCTGTGTAGGTGTGGCTTGGAATCTGAAAGATTTGTTCAAGTCAATTGTATAAATTGATGTGAAAGACACTAATGCTCATTTATCCACGTGACACATGTTAATATGTTTTTCACCGGCATGCATATACTGTCAATATATTTTTTTAACATATTACCATCATTAATGTTTAATTGTCACATATACAGCGGGCATATTAACATGTGGTCAATGTAAATAGGGGAACATTATCTTTATTTATAAATGCAAACACACAAATATGGTCAAGTAAGAAACTAAAATTATAAAAATCTATATCTATATAATGGACGAATCCATTTTGCCAAAAATGGACGAATTTTTCCCGCTCAAACTTTTTCGGCTAAAATTGGAAATATTTATTGTATACCAATAGCTTTAATATATTGAATTTTTATTGATTTATTGATTTATTGATCCACTTGACGAAATAATTATAGAGAATAATTATAGCAAAGATTTTGTTGGCCATCTTTCCGTATGCATATGATAATTATAGCAAAGATTTTAATATAGGGATTACTATATTTAATATATGATAATTATTCCTACATTATAGAAACATATACACGCATATAATAATTATCTTTGTTTGCAAAGATTTTATTCAACATATATGTTCCAATAATCTATATCTATATAATGGACAAATCCTTATTTTCATAATTGGCATAATTTTGGTTGGGAACAATTTTCTTCTAAAATTGGCATTTAATTAATATTTATTTATTAGCAAATCTTATGCATGAAAAACATAATTATTTTTTATACACTCAATGAATGTTACTCATTAACTATAAATTGGCTAAATCGAAATTTTGAACGTAGATTTATTAGATATATTTTTAATAAGATCTTATATTAATTTAGTAGTAATTTATTTGCACACTTAAAAAGAAATATTATGGAAATTGATTTGATTAAATATATTATCATTTATGGTTGTAGGTATTAATCTAATAAATTATATTCACTATTCAGAAGTACTCAAATTATTTAATAAAATAATCAAAAGAACTATGTTTAAATCAAAATAACTAATTAATAAATAATATAAAATTATTAATAAAAGTTTCTAAAACGTATAGTCAATTTAACTATATAAAGGTACATGCTCATTGAATATATCATATGTAGTGATAAAACTATTGAAATTTAAATAATATACTAATAAA